TGTGTGTGTGTGTGTCACTGTGTGTGTGTGTGTCACTGTGTGTGTGTGATCACCTGATTGTTGTGAGTTAGGGTTAGTAAAATTTTAAAATGTTGTAAATTCAAAAGTCTGGTGATATTTTTTATTTGTTTGTTGATCAAATCCAAGAAAAGACCGAACAGCACAGACTGATCACCGCCTCCCTCTGAGCCGTGCTCCTCCACCGTCCAGGATCTATTACAACACATCAGACCCACACACACACACACACACACACACACACACACACACACACACACACAACCCTAACCGCTGCTGAAAATAGTCCCAACATTTGCTCTGGTCGTAGTGACGTGCGTCTTCGGAGCTGGTCTTTTCTACAGATTTGTTGACAATAACAAACGTACAGATTACGACCTGTTTAACACACATTCATTGATTTAGTTCAATGACATTAATCACTGAGAAGGGTTAGATCTCTGCGCCCTCACACACTCTGGGGGTGTGTGTCTGTCGGCTGATGATCAGGTACCTGAGGCCTCCAGGTGACGTGCTGCTGTAGAGACTGAGCTGACAGGTCTCTGGTCTCTGCAGGACTCTGGTTGAGACACACTGCGAGTCAGTAACAGGTCAGGATGATGTCAGAGCTGGAGCTGGTTCCTGTCTGATCACGGTCACTGGTGATACTGGTCCAGCTGGTCAACAGTTAAACTAACTTCAACAAGCAGCTAGTGTTAGCATTAGCAGCTGTTTACTGACCAGTGTAGAAGAATCAAGTTTCACTCCTTCACTCCCCAACATCTGTCTCCAGAGGTGGAAACAAACACCAACGTTAACTCTTCTTCTGCTGGAGTTAGCATGTTAAACAGCTAGCTCCAGCTTCCTGTCTGATACCGAGTCACTGTAGCGTCAGTCTGTCCTCAGTTCATCATGACAGGATGAAGCTGCTCGGAGGACATAGTCTCACATAGTCTCTCAACACAACCGGTCATTCAAACTGACTCATTTAAACTGACTCATTTAAACTGACTCATTTAAACTGACTCATTCAAACTGACTCATTTAAACTGACTCATTAAAACTGACTCATTTAAACTCATTTAAACTGACTCATTTAAACTGACTCATTTAAACTGACTCATTTAAACTGACTCATTTAAACTCATTTAAACTGACTCATTTAAACTCATTTAAACTGACTCAGTTTGAAAGAGTCAGTTTGCGTCACATGATGTTTGGAGTTTGTTGCCACCAGGAGAAATGAGGTTTATTCAGGTGTGTTAGAGGAAGTTACCTGATGATGCAGAGATTTGAACATGAACTCTTCTTCTCTGTTTGTACCTGTTGTTGTTTTCAGGACTGTAAATACAAACAAACAAACACACCCATCACTGCCTCCGAGGAGGGACAGAAACAGCTGAACACTATGAATCAACCAGATCAATGAAGATTTTCTAAAACTGTGAGAAAAAGGGCTGGGGGTGGGGTGGGTTGGGGGGGCTTGCACGGGGTGGGGGGGGTGGGGGGGGTTCAGGTGACACCCCCCTCTCTCACCCTGTGACTCTCCACCTAAACCTTCAGTGAGTGAATGAGAGGGAGGCAGCAGGAAGCTCCGCCCACATGATGACTGCATGTAAATGTTGGTTGTGCCTCACATCTGGAGTCAGTGTGTGAGATCCAGATGTTTCTGTTGACCTGATGGTTTCACGGCTGTTTCTGCAGTCAGTCAGTCAGTCAGTCAGTCAGTCAGTCAGTCAGTCAGTCAGTCACCTTTGACCTGTGTTCACTTTCCTTTACTCAGCCAGTTTGTTCAGGCTGAAGTTGCCAAAGTCATTTTGTCCTGTGATATTACTTTATTAAAGTGTTTTTAGGTGTGAAATCTGAAGAGACTGATGGACCAGCTGCTGCTCTGACTCTGATTCACTGTGTTTCATATCAGACTGACATGATGACAACATCTGGATCACTGTGTCACAGCTGGAGAGACACTGAGAAGCATCAGTATAAACTGTCCTTCATCTCTGCTCTGTCTTTAACTTCTGAATCTGGATCTGATGGTTCAGGTTCTGATGGTTGGTTGTTGTGAATCAGGGGCAGGGGTTGTGTGTGTGTGGGTGTGTGTGTGTGTGTGGGGGTGTGTGTGTGTGGGTGTGTGGGTGTGGGTGTGGGTGTGTGAGAGATGTATTTATATTTTGTCCTCAAACAGTTTTTAAAATGAGAAAATAAATGTTGATACACCAGCTTCAGGCTACGCCACCTCTTTATTATAATTTATATTCATTTCATTAAAGTTTAACTTTCGTCCTGAATGTTTACACAGCAGCAGATAAACTGTTGATTTAATTATGTTGCTAAGCAACGGTTAGCATATTAGCATCAGTCTGTTGAGGGTTGAACAGACAGTATACATACATACATACATCTATATATATATATATATATATATATATATATAGATGTATGTATGTTCATTGTTTGTGTGATTGATGTGAAGCAGCTGCAGAAACTTGTTTCTCTTTGTGTTTAACAAAGAAAATTAAATCAACAGAGTGAAGTTCAGTCCTGTTACTTCTGACAGCCACTAGATGGCGACACACACACACACACACACACACACAAAAGAGAATCTGAATGAAATTACAGGCAACTTCCTGTGTGTGTGTGTGTGTGTGTCAGAGTACTCCAGTGTTTCAGTCCACAGAGAACAGTTTGATACTGGAAATATAATTATGTGTCTTGGTGTAGTGCTCTGTATGTAAGTGTGTGTGTGTGTGTGTGTGTGTGTGTGTGTGTGTGTGTGTGTGTGTGTCATATCATATTATATATTAAACCTCATGTTTTATCACTTCTCTTCAGTGTGTTTCTCTGTGTTCTTTGATCTGAAGAATTAAATACAATGAGAACCGTCAGGCTGCTGGAGTCATTTATTTAAGCTTCACTTTTAGTTTGTTCATGTTTTTTCATATTTTTGTTTTCACAGGAAAAAGAAGAAAACTTTTACCGTCAATCAAACAAACACATCGTTAAGTTTAATCCTACAAGTGGATTTCTTCAGTTCAGGATCCAGCACCAGAGATGGTCCTGGTGTTTGGAGGTTAAGGTCTGAAGTTGTTAAATACATTGTGTTGGGTGGAGTCTGTAGTTAGACTGAGGATCAGGGTCTGGTTTTGTGTGTGGGTGAAGGAGTTAAGTGTTTGGTCTGGAGTCGGGTTTGGACTTGAGGTTCAGGTTACCGTGTTTGAAACGTGTTTAGGACTTGATGTGAGGTTCTGGTTTATCTAGCGGGTCCAGGATTTAGACTTGAGTCCAGACTGGAGTTCTGGAGGTTCCAGATCAGCAGAAAGTGAAGATGAAACTGTTTCTCCGTGATCTGAGAAGATTCAAACCACTGTCACAAATCGATTCCTGCAGCTGAACTTCCTGGAGTCTACATCATGGCAATGTTAAAAATGATAGCTTAGCATGTTAGCCCACCAGCATATGCTAATTAGCAACGTACAGCTGATGATCTGCAAACATCTGGTCCTAAATCAAAGACAAATTTAAACTTTCACCTGAAGGTGGCACCACATGATTTCATTATAAAAGTTGTTGAGACACACGGGAACCTCATGGTGGCGCTAGAGGAAGAGTCAGCTGATCGTGTGTTGATGATGTGATCTGAACAGTAATTACTTCCAGTCTGTTCGGTGATGTTTCAGTCTGACCACTCCTAGCTAAAAACAAACCATGAGATTACACCCGGCTTCATTTTAGATATAAAAAATATGGATCAATAAACATCTAGAGGAATATTTTTTATTTTATTTTATTACATTACACCAAAAAATTCAGTTCATAGTAATAAGAAAAAAGACAGACCAGTGGAGTGAAGGCCTGCATACTTTATCTGTGTGTCATATCTGTCTCTGTGTGTGTGTGTGTGTGTGTGTGTGTGTGTGTGTGTGTGTGTGTGTGTGTGTGTGAGCTGGCGCTGTATTCACACACTCATCCACCTACTTCCTGTCTCTGGATTATGATGCCATCACTGCGAGCCACTGATCTATCAGCTGGGATCTACCAGCTACGGATGTTAGCTTTGGGATTTACACACACAGTAGAGCCGACACACACACACACACACACACACACACACACACACACACACACACAGAGTGCTGAGCAGATGTGTTGGTTTGTGGGTCAGAACAAACTCAGTCT